GTACCTCATCTTTCTTGCTGAGGCGTAAGTTCTACGATACATCTCATACGAGATGACCCGTTTTTTCCGGCTTGTGCTGACATTGGCGTAGCATCATGGCATCAAGTCTCCAACCACAGCTCCAAATGCTCCTCTCGTCCTCCGACTACTGCGGCACCCTCTCCTCGTCATACCTCCGAAGCATACTCGATTGCGCGTACGCATTTGGTGGAACAACGGGTCTATTCTGGGGATACCTCGCCGACCGCATGGGAAGACGGCGCGTTACGCTCATTGGGCTCTGGAGCATGTTTGCATGCTGCTTGAGCATGGGATTTGCGACCAGCCTCGTCAGCTGCACAATCTTCCGCTTCGTCGCTGGCATGGTCAGCTCGGCGATCGTATGCACGACCCTGACTATGATTGGAGACTTGAGCACATCGGCAGAGGAGAGGGCGAAGAACGTCGCCCGGCTGCCTACTATTTCCCTAGGTGGTTCCATGGGCCCGATCATGCAACTCATGGTATCAGAGAGCCTGCAAGCATACAACATGGTCTGGCAAGACTACCCAACACTGGGCTCTGAGCTAGCCTGCGGAGCTGTACTGTTCGGCATCGCACTCACGGCGAGCATCTGCCTCAAGGAAACGCTTCCCCACCACAACGACCGCTCGGCAGACCCCGTCGACATGGACTGCGAAAAGGCTGCTTTCCTCCGCCGCGACTCCGAAGACACCAACGTCACTCTCGTCGACTTCGCTCGCCCGGATCCCATCACCATCTCCCAGTTCCTCCAAGCACCCTCGCTAATGGTTCTCCTCTCTTCCTTCTGCCTCCTCTCGCTCCACGCCTCGACCTTTGACGTCGTCCTCCCCCACCTCGGCCACAGCAGCACAGACCAAGGCGGCATGGGCATCTCCTGCGAATGGCTCAGCATCGTCGTCCTCTGCGTCCGCGGCATGGCCGGCATGGTGCTCTTCTACGCCATCCCGTACGCAACCGAGAAATACGGCCTCGTCAAGCTCTACCGCTCCGTCTCCGCCATGCTCCCCGCAACCTACGTCCTCACCCCCATCCTTGCCATTGTAGTCACCTGCTCCGGTCTCGAGCCCGTCATCTCCACCTTCTCCATCTTCGCCCAACACCTCCTCACCGGCGGCGCAAACGTCATCGTCTCCCTCCTCGTCCTCAACACCACACCCGATGCCTTTTCCGCCGGCACCGTCGTCGGCATGATGCAAGTCGCCAGCCTCTTCAAGGCCTTCGCCGTTGCAGTCAGTGGAACAAGCTACTACTTCAGCGACGACCTCAGCGTGCAAACTACAAACTTCGCGCTGTGGACTTGCCTCGCGCTCTTCGGCATCGTTGGCGCAGGTCTCGCGTGGTTCGTCCGCGAGAGACCGAGTGTTGAGAAGGATTTCCCCAGCGAGGTTCTCTGCTGGGAGACTTGCTTTGATGCTGATGCTGAGAAGCAGTTTAGTCTGGAGGATGTTCAGGAGGTTTGATTGATACCATCGATATCATATCATCTATCAGTCAGTTGTATGTCTTGATGTACCTATAGCGCGTCGACATTGCGTGTTTTGTCTATTCTTTCGTTTGTCTGTCGCGTGTTATGCTGTTTATCCATCGGTCTCCTTGTGTTTGGGTTCCGAACTCTGCTTCTTGGGTTGTATGAGTATATAAGCAAAACATCGTATTCTGGCTCGTGAGCCAGCCATCTGCCTTGATAAAACTTTCACGATTTGCAAATGTGATTTGATCGATTCAGCAGTGATCCTCCGCGCGCTTGTACGTGCAGCACGAACAAAAAGAGTGAAAGGGACCGAAAGGAACAGGAACCCTTGGGTTGCTAGGTTGAACTGCTCTGAGGGCACATATTCTCCCGCTCTTAAGTTGGCAATGCTGGAAGCGATGACAAGGTATGACATCTCGCTGTTAAACTTGCTCAACGTCACAATTTGTTAGAAAGGTTGGAGAGCTACATGTCAAGAATGGCATTTCACGACATCAAGCACCATATTGAAAGAAGTTTTTGAAATGTGATCGTTGTACTATCGACTACTAAGATGCCACGACGGGCCTACATCAAACCGAGTGATTGAGTATCTCTAATCAAACAACTTTTACCCTTGAACGCCATACCCAGAGGGCTGAAAACCAGATCCGATGATCATATCACATCATATCGTACGGCAGCTCCATTACTTACTCTCCGAGATGATCAAAGCAGATACACGAAAGGATGTGAAAGGCGATGACTCAAACGAGACGCTTAGTCGAAGCTCTTCTTCTGTCCCTGGAAGTCGCCGAAGCCACCACGGTTGAATGAGCCACCGCGGCCGCCACGGTCACCACCACGACCACGGCCGCCTCCGCGACCACCACCGAAGCCACGGCCTCCGCCACGACCACCGCGGTCGCCGAAGCCACCACGGCCGCCGCCACGTCCACCGCGACCACCACCACGGCCACCGCCGAAGCCACCGCCGCCACCGTTGTCCTCACGAGGTTGAGCGTAGTCGATGCGGATGGCACGGCCGCCGATGTCCTGGCCGTTCAAAGCCTCAAGAGCGGCAGTAGCCTCCTCCTGGGAACCGAAGTCGACGTATCCGAAACCCTTGAGGGAGCCGGTGTCACGGTCGGTGGGAAGAGAGACACGGGTGATGTTACCGTACTCCTGGAAGACCTCCTGGATGCTCTCGTTGGAGCACTCGAATGAGACGTTGCCGAGGAAGAGGGTGCTGCTGGGAGGGCTGCGCTTGTCACCGTACTTGTTGGCACGGGCACCGTTGGCATCGGGCTTAGCGCGGGGAGTGCTGAAGTCGACGTTGAGCTGACGGCCGTCAAGCTCGTACTCGTGCATCTCCTTCTGTGCCTTGGCAGCGTCGGCAGCGTTGGCGAACTCGACGTAACCGAAACCCTTAGCACGGCCAGTCTCGCGGTCGGTGATGACACGGCAGCCAACAATCTCACCGAAGCCCTCGAACTCGCGGCGGAGCCAGTCCTCGTCGATGTTCCAGCTCATGTTGCCAACGAAGAGGTTCTTGATACCCTCCTCAGCGGCGGGCTCCTCAGTCTTGGTCTTCTTGACAGCGGGGGCAGCGGCCTCCTCAGCCTTGCGCTTCTTGGAGGGAGCCTCCTCGCTCTCGGAAGCGGAGGAGTCGTCGGAGTCGGCGTCAGAGGAATCGTCAGAGTCGGAGGTGGAGGTGGCCTGTCAAAGTTAGTCTACGTTGAGTGATGGTAAGATGGTGAACTAACCTCAGCCTTAGCGGCGGGCTTCTCGTCCTCAGACTCGCTGCTGGAGTCGCTGTCGGAGTCGCTGGACTCAGCCTTGGCTGCGGCCTTCTTTACACCATTGGCCTTGGCCTTGGGGGCAGGCTTCTCATCCTCACTGCTGTCGCTGTCGCTGTCTTCCTCGCTGCTGTCGGAAGAGTCAGAATCGGAGTCGGCCTTAGCAGCGACCTTAGAGGCAGCCTTGGCAGGAGTCTTCTTCTGCTCGACCTCCTCCTCGCTGCTGCTCTCAGAGGATTCTTCGCTCTCGCTCTCGCTCTCAGACGAAGAATCAGACTCAGGCTCTGGGGTAGGAGCCTTCTTCGACTTCTTCTTGTCCTTGACGTTGGAAGCAACTGACTTGGCGATGTCCTTGCTCTTCGACTTGGGAGTGGCAGCGGGCTTGGTGACGCGACCAGCCTTGACGCTCGCGAGCTCAGACTTCTTCTCCTTCTTGGACGACTTGTCCGCGACCTTGGTCTTGCCCATTTTGATGATAGGTAACTAGATCTACAACGTATTAGTATTGTGAAACGTGCGACGAGAGCGCCAATGATGTGCGACAGAAAAAGGAAAGAGAGGAGCCGACGGCATGAAGCCGTCGCTCGGGCGCTGATGCCAAAAGGTCATCGTATGCGCCAGCCTGCTGGTCTGGTTGTCTCAAATTGCGAAAAGCCCACTGGTATCTCTCGAGACCGCACGAAGCGGGTATCCCTCAAGCCCACGGAAAGCCCACAAGAGCCCACAGAAACCGAGCTTCAAGGCATGTGTTCCCACAAGCGCCGAGAAGACGGAAGATTAACCCTCATAGTAGCAAAAAGCCCTCAGGATGATCTTGCCTTGCCCTGACGAGCGGCAGGCGTGCCCTCTGTAATGTGTGTTAAGGAAAAGCCAAACGTTGCCCACTGACTTGTAATTTGATCTGGTACTGGATGTTGCCCTCAGTAGCCCACTTGAGAATCGCGAAAGCCCTCAGTGTTGATTTCGAACGGTGAAAGTTCGAAAGAAGTTGTGAAGAAGGTTGATGGTAGGTAGATGCAAATGGCTGGGAGCGCGCAGTTTATGTAGCGGAAGGATCAGCATCGAACTTTTCAGCGGATCTGAGGCCCGAGCGCGGCGCTAGGAACGCGTTTTCTCGAGGTACGCTAGATTCGCCCCACGCGAACTCCATCCAACGGCGACGGCGGTATTTCCCTCAGAGATCTCAGGGTCTCGAGATGACTGGGATTTTTTGGAATGGAAAGTGGATGGAATGATTCTTGTGCGGAAATGCTAGGAATCCCACCCACTCAAAGTTTCCTCCGGTACCTAGGTATGTCCTACCTGTATAGAGGAGTGCAACCATGCACGAAGTCTTATTAGAGAACACACATGGTCTGCACAGCAGCAAAATGGATCAATCTCAGAAAGAATGTTTGCCGAGGTTGCCCACTGTGCCCTCATAATGGTGCTCACAGCAGCTTGATCATGCCGCAACCTATATGTAATTTTGGCAGTATCAGGTGCCTATAAACGTGATATATACGTTAAGGCTCCATCACAAACCAAAGCTACAGAGCAGCTAGTCTAGGCAATAGCCTGGACCAAGAGCGCTGACTCTTCTTCGTCTGAAGAGATCTGGGTATCGAACTCTTCAAGGGCTCAAATGCAGGGCACAAGCTAGCGCAGAAGCGGTAAAGCGTAGAATCTCCGCCACGAGTCCTCGATTCCGTCCGGGCACTCACCAAGCTCACCTAGGCAGCTCCAACATGGCATCTCCAGCAGCCCACAAGCCGCGACGGCGGCGAAATATTGGAGAGGGCTCTCTCGCCCAGGTCGCACACGGCACGCTCGATCTCGACCACTCGACCAACGCACGGAAGCCCGCGTTTCCTCTCGTCGCGTTTCTCTGGCCAGCCAAGGGCACCGTCTCGCAATGGGTCACGATACCCCTCATCTTAATGGCAGTTGGCCTATTCAGATGGACTGTCAGTCTGTGGGGCTATTCTGGATTCCAATCACCACCGATGCACGGTGACTTTGAGGCTCAGCGGCATTGGATGGAAATCACCAAACACCTACCCGTGTCGAAATGGTACTTTTATGACTTGCAGTGGTGGGGATTGGATTACCCACCTCTGACTGCGTATCATAGCTGGATACTGGGTGTCATGTATGTTGGAGCATTCGATATCAAATACAAGTGCTAATCGTTGCAGTGGTTCTGCCATCAATTCGAAATGGTTCGCTCTCGACGAGTCGCGGGCGCTCGATGACCCTTCCCTCAAGATATACATGCGAGCCACCGTCTTCGTATCCGAATACCTCATCTACGTGCCTGCGACGATCATTTTTCTCCGCCGATACTCCCGACTCGAGGGCGTCAATATTTGGGAGTCTTCAATCGCGCTGGTTGCTATCCTAATGCAACCGGGAACGATCTTGATTGACCATGGGCACTTCCAATACAATACCGTCATGCTTGGTTTCGCAGTCGCAACACTCTCGAGCATGATCGCTGGAAGACCGCTGTGGGGATGTGTCTTCTTCGTCGGTGCGCTTGGATTCAAACAGATGGCATTGTTCTATGCGCCTGCGGTATTTGCATACCTGCTGGGCATATGCCTCTTCCCCAGGATTAACATTGTGCGGTTCCTTGCGATCGCGCTGACTACCGTGGCCGCATTTGCCGTGTTGTTTCTGCCGTTCTTGATGGGCGTCGCATACGACCAATATACCCGCTTCGATTACGATCCCTTGGAAATGCCCCCGCTGCTGACCTTGAGATGGTTCATGACACCGTGGAATATGAACGCCTGGTACTACCCATACGTTTTGGAGATGGGGCAGGCGATCCACCGCATCTTTCCCTTCTCCCGTGGGTTGTTCGAGGACAAGGTTGCCAATATATGGTGCACTATCCATACTTTCCACAAGCTTCATCGGTATCCGATCGAGCTACTTCAGCGTCTCGCGCTACTCGCCACGACCGCTGCGATTCTGCCTCCATGTTTGATCATCTTTGTCAAGCCTAAGAAGCAGCTTCTTCCACTGGCGTTCGCAGCAGTCTCCTGGGGCTTCTTCCTCTGCTCATACCAGGTGCACGAGAAGAATGTCTTGCTTCCGCTGTTGCCGATGACGCTGCTCCTCAGTGGAAAGGATGGCCTGCTACCTTCCACCCGCGCGTGGGTTGGTCTAGCAAATATGCTCGGCGTCTGGACAATGTTCCCGCTGCTCAAGAGAGATGAGCTACGAGTTCCGTACTTTGTTATATCCCTCTTGTGGGCATATCTTCTTGGTCTCCCCCCAGTTTCTTTCTCTGCCTACCATGAAGGCAGCCGGGGTGGACTGAATATCTTCAGCAAGATCCTCCACCTCAATATCTACCTGGCCATGATTGGATGGCACGTTGCGGAGGCCTCTTACCCTCCCCCGGCCGATAAACCGGACCTCTGGGTTGTCGCGAATGCGATTGTTGGGACGGGTGGCTTTGGTATTTGCTACCTGTGGTGCTTGTGGCGACTTGTTGTCAAGAGTGAGTTGTTTGGAGCAGAAAAGAGCAAGACGCAGTAAAAGATTGGTGGATGTTCGTTGGTGCACTTCAGCACTTCTTCAAGATACCCAGGTAGATCAAGGAGGGAAGATTTTGGTTCCTCATGTATAGTATTGTACATCGAATCTAAAAACGCGTATTGTGCGCAACGCCACCCATATGCTCGTGTTGTACATGTCGTATACATTTCCGTCCCTCATTGCGCTATATCTTGAAGCCGTATCCAGCCATGCACTTCTTGTAGTCGTCGACGAGGGTGAAGCACTCTTTCTGGGGGTCGTTCGATGTCGAGAAGAGCATGCATTCGTCGCGTTTAGCCTTTTGGTCTGTGCAGACGCAGCATGCTATTCAGGAGTCAGTACTAGAGCAGTAGGTACCAAGAAGTTGGGTAGAAACTCACGCTTAACTTTGGCTGGCGCGGCGGTGTCCTTGAGGTCTGAGCCCATGTTGGCAGCGGTTGGCGGTGCTAGAACGCCATCAATTAGCTACTCTGCGTCGCATACATGCTATCATCAAAGCGCAAGCATACCTGACGACATTGTGAGTGTGGGAGTGTGGTGGAGGTGAATTGAAGATGCTTAGCAATCGCAAAAGTTCCCAGGACATGTCATCGGACTCCCGCGGCGCTCCATACGCCACACGAGGCTTGCACGGTTCGGCTAAAACCAACCCTGCAGGCGACAGGGGGTTCTAGACAATGAATCTCAATCAACCCCACTACGTTTTGCGCCCCACGACTCACACTATAAAGTATAAACAACAAACCCGCCCCCCTGTTGTGCTGCTTTCCGCTACTATATCCTCACTGTAACTTGCAACGGGGCGTGCGAAGACATGGCTGGCGCAAAGATCTTTTCTATCGAGGGCAAGGGCCTCAAACTCACCACCGCCGAGGATATTGAGCCGCACATCCAGGACCTCATGAGCAACGACGATGTAGAGGAGATCAAGTTCTTGGGCAACACACTGGGTATTGGAGCCAGCGAGGCGCTTGCTAAGGTCTTGGAGAGCAAGAAGAACCTCCAGGTATGTTCACAGCCCCGCTCATCGGCGCTGCGATGTCAACGACGGACTGACTGACCCAAATTCCAGGTCGCAAACCTCGCCGACATCTTCACCTCGCGTCTCCTCTCTGAGATCCCGCCCGCGCTATCCCACCTCCTCACCTCCCTCCTCACGCTACCAAACCTCCACACTGTCGACCTCTCGGACAACGCGTTCGGCCTCAACACGGTTGCCCCGCTCGTAGACTTCCTGTCGCAACACACCCCACTCCGCTACCTATACCTCAACAACAACGGCCTAGGACCCGCCGCTGGTGTCCTCGTCGCAGATGCGCTCACCGCACTCGCCGCCAAGAAGGCCGCGGCGCGAAAAGACGGCAAAGAGGTACCCGATCTCGAACTCGTAATTTGCGGTCGCAACCGCCTGGAGAACGGCAGCATGGGCGCATGGGCAAAAGCCTACGCCGCCAACACGGGCGTCAAGACCATCAAGATGACGCAGAACGGTATCCGCCAAGAAGGTATCTCGCACCTCATCACCAACGGCCTCGCCCACCTCTCCAAACTAGATACCCTCGACCTCCAGGACAACACCTTCACAGCCATGGGCGCAAAAGCCCTCAGCAGCGCCGTCGGCAACTGGACTGAGCTCCGCGAACTCGGCGTAGGCGACTGCCTGCTCAGCGGCCGGGGCGGCGTTGCTCTCGCTGCTGCACTGGAAAAGGGCAACAACAAGAAGGTTGAGGTCCTGCGCCTCCAGTTCAACGACATCAACGCTAAGGGTCTCGCTGGCCTCGCCTCCGCTTCCCATACCGCACTCCCTGCGCTGCGTCGCGTCGAGATCAACGGCAACAAGTTCGACGAGGAGGACCCCAGCATAGAGAAACTGCGCGATGTCCTCGATGCACGGAAAGAAGAGAGTGGTGAGAATGCGGACGACGAAGAATACTGGGGTCTAGATGAACTGGACGAGTTGGACGACGACGACGAAGACGAGGAGGAGAGTGATGCAGAGGAGAAGCACGGGGATGCTGGTGATGACGAGGAGGGTGTTGAGGTCGAGGAGAAGGCTGCGAGGCAGGTCGCGGCGGATAACGAGGCTGAGGAGAGTAATGTGGGCCAGGAGAAGGATAAGAAGGTTGATGATTTGGCGGATATGATGGCGAAGACGGAGATTAAGTGAGGGGATGGAGAGTGCACTGGAGGGGACCTTGTCATGCATTTAGCGGCCTGGGTTGGGTTGGAATGGGGATGGCTTTTTGAGTAGGCATGTAGGAATTGATACCATAGACCTTACTTCTGTTAAATGCACACGAGGTGATCAAGCATAGGTACATGATGTTCAGTGGAGATGTCCAAATTACAGTGTAGTGCGAAGTTATTCTGTAGGTTGAGAGAGGGCAAAGTGTGGTTCATTAGGGTGTCCAGCGGACAGGTCATCTATGTGTAGGTTCGTGACTTTCATGCCACCTGCCCATGTCCGGTTGTAGTGAATCTCGAATATCATCTACTCCTCTACCATCTTAGATACATGCCCGACATTCACGGACACTCCTATTATGTCACCCCGATGCACCACTGTCTCATCGATCGTCCGCGTCATAGCTTGGCTCAGCCAGCAACTTTCCGTTCTCGTCCACTCGACCATGACCGTCCTGCACGAGCCTCTTCACGTGGGTTTGGTGATCGTTATCCTCAAGCTCCTCATCAACCTTGTTAAGGTCCTTGTCGGGCTGTGACTGCTCTTTGCGGTGCTTAGTCGCGGAGGAGTTGGAAACATCGCTGAGAGACTCTTGCCTACGGGAAACGAAGGACTGTGCAGTGGGGCTGAGTCCGCTCTTCTCGGTGTGGCCGTTGGTCGGGATCTCTTGCGACTGGACTGTTTTGGGGTTTGGTTGAGTAGAGAAGCCGTTCTCTCCCTTGGGCGAGACAGCAGAATTACCGTCGTGTAGGTCGCCATGATGTTTGGAGCCAGATAGTGTATCACGAGGGTAAATGCTCTCGCTGCAGGCGCGGGGACGTTCATCGCTGGCGCGAGCACTTCCGTTATTGGCGTGCGACTCACAGAGCCCCAAGCATACATGTTCCTCAGTGCCGCGGTTGGCACGAGCATCGAGAGTCTGCGGATCATCCATCCCCGATGCGGCGGCAAAGCCCGCCTCGATCTTAGGCCTCATAGTCATCTCCGCATTATGGCAGTCATCTTCCTTCTCTTGACGAGACCGTTGCCGAGGTGATGTGAAGTTCCTACTGTTGGCACGAGATCTTCCGTTGACAGGACTCAAGATAGATCCAGTGCTGCTGCTCAGTGATAGTTGACGCTCACGTCTGGCTGCAACAGACTGAGCGACAGCGGCGATGCCGCCCTTCTCGGTATGACCGTGGGCGCGGGCCTCGAGAGAATGGAGATGATCGGCTTCAGCCTTGGTGACAGTGCCTTGCGCAATCTTGGGTTCGATCTTAGCGATTTCCTCCTGGAGCTCGGCTTCGACTTCAGGGTGAGGAGCATTGGTATGGCCGACGGCCTTTTGCAGTTCTATAGATTGTCAGTGTTTGTCTCGATGTGGAGCGAAGGATCAAGCGGGACGGCACGTGGAAGTAGGCACGTACTGCTAACGATGCTCTGGGCAACACGAAGAACCTCGGTGGTCGCCTCGTCAGGGCTGCCATCTACAGCGATATGCAGGTCCTTGGCGGCCATCAGCAGGGAACGATGAGAAGCCTGAGCTTGACTGGATCCCTTCTAATCCACACCTTGTTAGCAATAGCTAGGGATTCGACGGCAGAGATAATGCGGACCGCTCTGTCGTCACGTGTAGCGACGTTCTCAGATAGAATACGGGCTTCCTCGGCTGTGATGGTGCTCGGATCTTTTCTCAGCTTCTTGAGGATTGCTTCCAATTGGTCTTGGAACCGCTGCGAAAGGGTGGTAGCATCGCTGCTCGCGTCAGAGGACACCTTCTCGCTGAGAATGTCGCTCATGGTGACTGATAGAGGTAGGGCTGTAGGTGATGCTTGAGTAGAAGAAGCGGTGGCTTGGTGCTGTGGAGAAGAAGGTGAGGTGGGTGTTTGTGTTTGCGTGCTTTATCTGTGACGATGACGTCGTGGGATCGCGTGTGGAAGGAAAGTGCAGGTGCAAACAATGAGATCGGACGACTCTGACAGCGGCTCTTTCCCGATGGTGACGAACGCATCAATGTTTCCATGATGTGTTGCGGAACAATTCTCCGCATCGCAATTGCCTCTCTAAAACATGCATTCGATGCACGCTGCGACAACGCAGGTAAACCGTAAAATCACATTAGATACGTAGATAGATATTAAGATGGAAAATACTAAGCACATGAGGGTAGGAGGATTATCAAGCATCAACTCCAGTACTCAAGAGAGACATTGTATGACTGAGTGCGAGATCAAAATGAACAAAATGAACATATTGATACCTCTAAACAATGATGGTTACGTCTCGCCAAAATACGCAGGCCTCAAATACATATAACGACATCAAAAGTCATCCATCTCATTCTCCAATTCCGCCAACTCTTCCCGTTTCCGGTCAGCTGTTTCCTCGCTGTCGTCCGAGTCGCTTGCTAGATCATCGTAAAGAACTTTCTCACCATGCTCTTTGACGTACTCATCAAATTCATCATCTTGTTTGGAAAGTCCAATCTCTACCGCCAACTCATCTTCGGCGGAAAGGGGGGCCATCGCCAAACCACCTTGGTCGGGGTCGCGTTCAAGACCATGGCCGTAGGGTTCGTCATCGCCGTCTTCTTCTGAATCGTAGTCCTCGTCGCTACCGTCAGGCGAAACTGATTTTTCGTCTTCGCTAAAGTCATGTCCTTCAGTAGGTACCGGTGCTGGAGCGATTTTGCTGGGTTGCTGCACTTTGGTGCCACTCTTCTCATCGAGGTCTTTGGCTTTCGCATGTTCCTGCTGCAATGCGACATCGTTATGTGGTTCAGTGCCGGCTGTGGCGGGTTCTGTAGCTCCAATACTCTCTAGCCCCGCTGTTGATGTTGTTGGGTCCGTAGTGCCGACTTTCTTGGCTTTCTTCACGCCATTAGATGGCTCGCTCGATACGTCGGGGTCTTCGGAAGCTGCGCGCTTCAAGGCTGATGTTTCCGTCATGGTGGTGATTCAGACTTGCGAGATAAATGTGAGGGAAGTTCAAAGTTCGAAAGGTCGACGATGGAAGTTAATAGGGGCTGGGATCAGCATGATGACGGAAGAGGTCCTTCGCAGCCCTCCATGGATCGGGAGTGATATCCCAGCTGTGGCGCAGATGAGCTAGCCTACCTGGTAGACACGACTTATCGATTCGAGTTGGGGGTTGGTACCGTAAATCGAGCTTGGGAATGAAGAAATTGAGTTGAGAGTTCTGGAGGTCAGACGAGATCTCTCGACATATTCGAAGCTGTGTTCATGTCTTTAGTCTATACAAATCAGTGCCCGCCATGCTGTGGAGCAGCAATATGAGGTCTTGTGAATAACCCATGCTCTACTCAATTGGGGGTGTCGCGCGAGAGCGTTGATGTCACGGGAAAATTATTACGACGTGGTGACAATGGAATGCCCACAGATGACTGCAAGCGATACTTTCCGTTGCTATAGCCGTTGGTGAAAGATGGTGGTTTCCTTACCTCGCGATGCGCGATGACGCGGCCACTGCCGGAAAGCCGAACAGCAGGGATGTCTCCTCACTAGCCCCACCGAAATCCAGCTGTCAAGCCTCACCTACCCACCACCCTCTGCCTGATTCAATGTCCTGCGCCACATATATGTCTACGGAGCCAGAATGGTCAGCGCCCAAGATGTTGCGGCTCGCCAGTCGCACATGGGGACAGACGATCAAGAGCAAGCGCAAGCCGCGCAGATGATCCAGCGCAACTATCGCGGCTATCGGGAGCGCAGGCAGCTTCAAGGCATGGGCCTCGATGCTAGCGCACGGTGGGCAGAGGTGGGAGACGTTCGCACTATATAGAGAGGTGTGGCTAATGGTACCAGGCGATACGCGACGGTTAGCAGTCCACCACCCTCTCTACTGCGCCCAAGCTAAACCTCTCAAGCGAAATGGCGCAATGCAACGAAGCCCAAGCCGCGCTCGGAAGACGCGGCTCTGCGCGACAACCTCACTACCCCCGAAGCACGTGAACGAGCGAACTCCATAGCAGCGCGCGAGAAGTGGAAACGAGTCGGCGAGATTGCGCGACGAGCGGGCGCTGACGATCCCCACGATGCCTCAGAGACGGACGACGAGGATGCGCCCGGGAACCACACGGAACAACGACGGAAGCAGAATGAGTCCAAAGCCGAGCGCGAGAAGACTGCCAAGATGATGGACCTCCAGTACTTCCTGGAGATGGTGGACCAGAAGCATCGCTACGGCAGTAATCTGAGAGCCTACCACGAGCAGTGGAAGAAGGCGGATACCCACGAGAACTTCTTCTACTGGCTCGACCATGGCGAGGGTAGGCACTTTGAGCATCCGACCGTCTCTAGAGAGAGGCTCGACACAGAGCGGGTGCGCTACCTGTCGCGGGAGGAGCGTCAGAACTACCTAGTCACCATCGACGACGAAGGTCGTCTATGTTGGGCGAAGAACGGAGAGCGCCTAAACACGACCACGGATTACAAAGATAGTGTCAACGGTATTGTACCGGTCGACGATGACACTCCTGCCTACGGTCCCAAAGCGAAGCTGCACTCTGGACAAAGCAAGACCCTGCGACGAAGTTCAATGATCTCGGTGAGCTCAAGCTCGTCCATATCCGAGAGCGATGCGGAGGCGGAGGAGGCAGAACACTACGTCAATGAGGACCTCGACAAAGCTAAGGGCGTTTCGAAACTCAAACATGTGTCAGCCGCGACTATTCTGAACCACCTTCTCCGTAGTTCAGTGAAGCCAAACTCATGGATATTCGTAAGATGCGCACACTCCTCCGTCAGCCAGGTGTACTAAGCAAGCACAGGTAGCCGACACATCCTTCCGCCTGTACGTCGGGATCAAGCAATCGGGTGCTTTCCAGCACAGCTCGTTCCTCCACGGTGCGCGCATATCTGCCGCAGGTCTGATCAGAGTCAAGGGTGGTCAGCTTCGGCGCCTCTCACCCCTGTCCGGCCACTACCGACCGCCGACGAAGAACTTCCGTGCGTTCGTACATTCCATGAAGGAGAACGGAG